GTCCGCCCCATTCCGAAGCTTTGACCCCCTGAATCAGCGTCGGGGCAGGGATCCGCGTGCAGTGCGAGAGGCTGGGAAACTGGGGAGTCCCGGGCCGCCTCTGGAGCCGCCCGCCCGTGGCTGGCTGGTCCTCCTCTTGCGCGGCTCCCGCCTGGCTGGGCCCTGGGCCGCCCTCACTCCCTCCCCGCTGCACCTCCCTCGCGTTTGTCACTCACTCTGCTAGGCTCTCCTGCCTCCGCATGCCCAAGGATCCGGAGGAAAACACGGACCATGACATCAAAAGGCCTTGGCAAAGGAATCATGATTATCGTGATACAGGAAGATTCTGCACCTCAAAGGGGATCCCTGTAGTGAGTTTTGGAAAACGTACAAAGCCTGACTTACAATACGTTTGTGTCTGTGGTGTTTCATCTGGGAACTTACTTTTCCTTGATAGGGTAAGCTCTTCTCACCCAGAGTATGTCCCTCAGTCTGTAAAATTCCATGGTGCCCTACATCTATTAGGGGAGTGAGGAAGGGCAGTGGGCATTGGATCTGCTTCTTAGAAAGCCCCCACCTGTGTTTAGCTTCTGTCAGAGGCCTTTGCACCAGAGCAACTCCATCTTGAGTAGGCGCTGAGTAAAATGAGACTGAGACCTACTGGGCTGCGTTCCCAGACGGTTGAGGCATTTCTAAGTCACAGGATGAGATGGGAGGTTGGCAGTAAAACAGTAAAGAAGCCGGCCAAAACCAACCAAAACCAAGATGCCGATGAGAATGACCTCTGGACATCCTCACTGCTACACTCCCACCAGCGCCATGACCGCTTACAATGCTGTGGCGACGCCAGAATATTACCCTATATGGTCAAAAAGGGGAGGCAATGAATAATCCACCCCTTGTTTAGCATATCATCAAGAAATAACCATAAACATGAGCAACCAGCAGCCCTCGAGGCTGCTTTATGGTAGTAGCCATTGTTTTATTTCTTTACTTAGGCTGGAGTGCACTGGCGCGATCTCAGCTCATTGCAAGCTCCGCCTCTCTGGTTCACCCCATTCTCCTGCCTCAGCCTCCCCAGTAGCTGGGACTACAGGCGCCCACCACCACGCCCGGCTAATTTTTTGTATTTTTATACAAATGTGGACATGGGGTTTCACCGTGTTAGCCAGGACGGTCTCTGTCTCCTGACCTTGTGATCCACCTGCCTGGGCCTCCCAAAGTGCTGGGATTACAGGCATGAGCCACCCCGCCCAGCCCTATTCCTTTATTTATTTATTTATTTTTTTTTTTGAGGTGGAGTCTCACACCTGGCCTCCAATATGTTTATTTGTATTGCTGAGGCAGGGGATTGCTTGAGCCCAAGAGTTTGAGGTTGCAGTGAACCATGATCATAAGCTGTATTTCAGCCTGAGAGAGAGATTGAGACCTTGTCTCACAAAATAAAAGTTAAAAAGTCCTTATCTGGAGGTGAAAAAAACGAGTACAAAGATCTAAGTTGGTTCCTAGTCCGGCAGTGTCAGCATCACCAGAGAGCTTGTTAGGCAAATTCTAGGCTGCCCCAACCTACTGAATTGTAGACCCTGAAGAGGGGCTATCTGAATTTTAACAAGGCCTCCCGGTTTGCGTGCTCAAGATTGAGAACCACTGGCAAAAGCAAACAATTTTGAGTCTGAAGTCAGCCACCTGGATTTGAATACAGGTCCTGCTGCTTAATAACTGATTTAGAGCAAATTAGTTACTTAACAGCTAGGTTGACCAGTTGTCCGAGTTTGCCTGGCACTGTCCTGAATTCAGCATTGAAAGTACTACATTAGACTGGGAGCAGCGGCTCACGCCTGTAATCCCAACACTTTGGGAGGCTGAGGCAGGTGGATCACGAGGTCAGGAGATCGAGACCATCCCGGCTAACACGGTGAAACCCCGTCTCTACTAAAAAAATACAAAAAAATTAGCCGGGCATGGTGGTGGGCGCCTGTAGTTCCAGCTGCTGGGGAGGCTGAGGCAGGAGAATGGCGTGAATCCGGGAGGCAGAGCTTGCAGTGAGCCAAGATTGTGCCAGTGCACTCCAGCCTGGGAGACACAGCGAGACTCCGTCTCAAAAAAAAAAAAAAAGAAAGTACTACATTAATGCGGTGGCTCACGCCTGTAATCCCAGTTTCTCAAGCTGTCCCTTTGGAAACTTCAATATCAGTACATGCATCCTTTTCTAACATCCCCTTCTTCCCTCACCCGTCCTGCACCCTCAGAATTCATTCTCAGATCAGCTTCCCAGATTTTTGCCAATATCAATTAAAAAAAATTTTTAGCCAACCATATACTGTAAGCCAATATCAATTAGCAAAATCTTTTGTTTCTTTTGGTGATTCAGTATCTTGTCCCTGGAGTTTTTTGATGATTCAGTACCCTCCTAGATTTGCGGGGATCTGACTTGTTATTTAATTCTGGAGAAAATGAGGGGTGGGGCTTATAAGGAGACTCCTTTGCTCGTTTGCGGCAGGGTCATTACAAGGTGTGTTACACAGGGAAATTCTAGCTGCTGGCTAGCTCTTGCTCATGAAAGGCTCTTCCTCTCTCAAGTGAAATGGGGAAGGGGGAACCCAGGCCGACTGAGGTCCTGACATGTTTAGCACCTGGCTTCTCAGGTCACCCAGGGCATCCAGGTGACCAGTTTGGGAAGCAGGAGATGTAGGCTGGAGGAAGAGGATACAGTCCACCCTGGAAATAACTGCCATCCCTCCCACCGATATGGTTAGGCTTTGTTTCCCTACCCAGATCTCATCTCGAATTATAATCCCCACGTGTCGAGGGATGGACCAGGTGGAGGTCCTTGCATCATGGGGGCAGTTTCCCCCATGCTGTTCTCGTGACAGTGAGTGAGTTCTCACGAGATCTGATGGTTTTAAAGTATGGCAGTTCCTCATTCTCACGCTCACGCCCTCCTGACTGCCTGGTGGAGGAGGTTTCAGCTTCCCCTTCATCCGTGGTTGTAAGTTTCCTGAAGCCTCCCCAGCCGTGCGGAACTGTGAGTCAATTAAACCTCTTTACTTTATAAATTGCCCAGCCTTGGGTTTGTTTTTTTGTTTTTTTTTGAGATGGAGATTTGCTCTTGTTGCCCAGGTTGGAGTGCAGTGGTGGGATCTCGGCTCATTGCAACGTCCGCCTCCTGGGTTGAAGCGGTTCTCCTGCCTCAGCCTCCCGAGTAGCTGGGATTACAGGTGTGCACCACCCTGCCCAGCTAATCTTGTATTTTTAGTAGAGAGGGGGGTTTCACTATGTTGGTCAGGCTGGTCTTGAACTCCTGACCTCAGGTGATCCACCCACCTCAGCCTCCCAATGTGCTGGGATTACAGGCATAAGCCACCGCCCCCAACCTTGGATGTTTCTTTATAGCTGTGTGGAAACAGACCCACTCATCGCTGCAGGCCACACCTCAGCCACGTGGACACCTAGTTCCTGCCAGGGAGTTTCTGCCGCTAGGATCTTCAGAGTGACAAAGAGGGAGGATGCTTTGGTTGGCAAGGGTGGCTGAGGAGGGGACAGGGGGTGCTGGGTACCTAAGGCTCCCCTATCTTTCCATACAGCCTAATTTTAATAGCCTCTGGTCTCCACACTTCACTGTTTACCAGAT